ACCATTGTAACACTACCACCATTGTACAACACTACCACCATTGCACTTTTACCACTCCCACCATTGTAACACTACCACCACTACCATTGTAACACTACCACCACTACCACCATTGTAACCTACCACCACTACCACCATTGTAACACTATTCCACCATTACATAACATACCACCACACCACCATTGTAACTACCACCACCACCACACGTAACATATTTTCACCACCATTGTAATATCACCACCATTGTAACACTCACCATTGTAACACTACCACCATTGTAACACTACCACCATTGTAACACTATCACCATTGTATCACTACCACCATTGTAACACATATCCATTGTAACACTACCACCATTGTAACACTACCACCATTGTAACACTATCACCATTGTAACACTATCACCATTGTAACACTAACACCATTGTAACACTACCAGCATTGTAACACTACCACCATTGTAACACTACCACTACCACCATTGTAACACTATCACCATTGTAACACTACCACCATTGTAACACTACCACCATTGTAACACTACCACCATTGTAACACTACCATCATTGTAACACTACCATCATTGTGACACTACTACCATTGCTTCCACCATTGTAACACTATCACCATTACACTTACCACCACTATGCTCCACCATTGTAACACTACCACCATTAACACTACCACCATTGTAACACTATCACCATTGTAACACTACCACCACTACCATTGTAACACTACCACCATTGTAACACTACCATTGTACTACCACCATTGTAACACTATCACCATTGTAATCACCAAGCAACAGCACTATCACCATTGTAACACTACCACCATTGTAACACTATCACCATTGTAACACTACCATTGTAACACTACCACCATTGTAACACTACCGCCATTGCAACACTACCATTGCTTACTACCGCCATTGTAACACCACCATTATTACCACCATTGTAACACTACCACCATTGTAACACTATCCCATTGCACTTACCAACATTGTAACACTAGAACCATTGTAACCTACCACCATTGTAACACTACCACCATTGCAACGCTATCACCATTGTAACATTCCACCATTAACACTACCACTATTGTAACACTACCACTATTGTAACACTACCACCATTGTAACACTACCACCATTGTAACACTACCACCACTACCACCATTGTAACACTATCACCATTGTAACACTACCACCATCATTGTAACACTACCATCATTGTAACACTATCACCATTGTAACACTATCACCATTGTAGCACTATCACCATTGTAACACTACCACCATTGTAACACTCACCATTGTAACACTACCACCATTGTAACACTACCACCATTGTAACACTAGCACCATTGTAACACTACCACCATTGTAACACTACCACCACTACCACCATTGTAACACTATCACCATTGTAACACTACCACCATCATTGTAACACTACCATCATTGTAACACTATCACCATTGTAACACTATCACCATTGTAGCACTATCACCATTGTAACACTACCACCATTGTAACACTCACCATTGTAACACTACCACCATTGTAACACTACCACCATTGTAACACTAGCACCATTGTAACACTACCACCATTGTAACACTACCACCACTACCACCATTGTAACACTATCACCATTGTAACACTACCAACATTGTAACACCACCACCACTACCACCATTGTAACACTACCATCATTGTAACACTATCACCATTGTAACACTACAATCATTGTACCATCACCATTAACACTATCACCATTGTAACACTACCACCATTGTAACATCTATCACCATTGTATCACTACCACCATTGTAACACACGAAATTCTCACCCCACCTTCCACACACACACACACACCTCCCTCTCCCACACATCACCACCCTCCACATTAGCATCACACCTCCCCTCCACACATCACACCTCCCCCTCCACACATCACACCTCCCTCCTCACATCACACCTCCCTCCACACATCACACCTCCACACATCACACACCCTCCTCCACACATCACACCTCTCCCCCCAACATCACACCTCCCCCACACACTCACACATTATCCAGCGACAAATAAAGTAGAGTCAATATAAGAAGGTAAAACTATAGCCGTGTTAGTCGTGTATATCGTGAAGACAAGAGAGATAATGTGTCCAGACCCCTCCCTCCCCTTACCTACGTCTCCCTCCCCTTACCTACGTCTCCCTCACCTTACCTACGTCTCCCTCCCCTTACCTACGTCTCCCTCCCCTTACCTTCGTCTCCCTCTCCAAACAAGACATTTTCTCTGCTTTCTTCTGTGTCAAGTGATGGTCAGAGGAGGAAGGAGGAGGCTACGGTGCCAGCCCTCGTGGTGCCTCTGCTGATGCACTAATGGCACCAAATGGCTCTTTCCCCCACTTTACTGCCAAATCCTTCGCCCTAATCTGGGAGAAGATGGACGAAAGGAACGAAGGGCAGACGAACATGGTGAGTAGACTCGTCAGGGGGCCTGGGTCATCATGTCTCACTTACTGTGCGTGTGCGTGTGCTTGTGTGTGTGTGTGTGTGTGTGTGTGTGTGTGTGTGTGTGTGTGTAAGGTGAGGTTGGTGGGTAAAGATTTGATTCACTAGAACTAGAAGACCTTTGATGACAGTGGTTTAACCTTTTAAGGACGATGATTTAATCCCTTCGTTCTCACATGGTTAATAGCACCTCCATGACGAGAGTGGACGCGATGATCCATGTTTAAGGAGGTGAAGCATGAGGAGGAAGAGGAAGAGCAGAAGAAGGGGGAAGAGAAAAGACAATGATTAAGATAAAGGGGAAGAAACAGCAGGGGATGAAGTTGCAAAAACAGCATAAACAGGAACAATAGTAGATGCTGAAAATGTAGTGTCAACAGTAGAAGCAGCAGACACATTAGCAGCTTAAAGATGGAACCGCGGCAGCAGGTTTTGAGGCAGAAGAAATAACATTTTAGGCAGCCGCAGCAGAATAGGTAAAAGAAAAGCAGTAGCCCTAGCAAGCAGATGAGGGAGAATAAGGAGGCGGGTGACACCGATGATGTCCACCAGATTTGTAGGGCGTCCTTAAAGGGCAGCGGCAGGAAGGCAGGCGTGTGGTAGATGGTTCCTTCCGGCGAGGGAAGGGGGGCCGTCGAGCTGCCCCCCACCACACTGGCGCCGAGGAGCTCCATAAAATGTCTTTAGGTGCTGGGGATCTGTCTGGCGTCACTCCATAACAGTAGAGAGGCAAGACAGACACCTGCAGGAGCCTCCGTCACCTCTGTCCCTCATAACGAGAGAGAACGGGGAAAAAATAGCGAGGTCGTCCGAAAGAAGAGACATTAAAATGAGCAAAAGAAAAAGATCAGAGAAAGAGAGAGCTAATAAAGTAAGAGAGGAAGGAGAGAAGAAGAGAAAACGTGAAACAATTAGGATATGTTAGAAAGTTCATTGTCTTTGATCAGTGACACAATATTGTAAAAACTCATCTGGTACATTTAGGGATACAACGAGTGATAACGCCTCGCTAGTGATCCTCCAGCTACTGATAACGCCTCGCTAGTGATCCTCCAGCTACTGATAACGCCTCGCTAGTGATCCTCCAGCTACTAATAACGCCTAGCTAGTGATCTTCCTGCTACTGATAACGCCTCGCTAGTGATCCTCCAGCTACTAATAACGCCTAGCTAGTGATCTTCCTGCTACTGATAACGCCTCGCTAGTGATCCTCCAGCTACTAATAACGCCTAGCTAGTGATCTTCCTGCTACCGATAACGCCTCGCTAGTGATCCTCCAGCTACTAATAACGCCTCGCTAGTGATCCTCCAGCTACTAATAACGCCTAGCTAGTGATCTTCCTGCTACTGATAACGCCTCGCTAGTGATCCTCCAGCTACTAATAACGCCTAGCTAGTGATCTTCCTGCTACCGATAACGCCTCGCTAGTGATCCTCCAGCTACTAATAACGCCTCACTAGTGATCCTCCAGCTACTGTGCGTGAGTGCGTTCCTTTACATTTTATCCATCACTAATCAAGGCACATACTTAAGGTGTGTTCCTACCGACTCCTAATAATCTCACTCTTAAGCTTGAATACAGTTGATCAGAAATACCATAACGTGCACTAGGTAGGTGAAAGAGGGAGTCAGGGATAGGTGGGAGGTCAGGAGGTTAAATTGTACGCCTTTGGTCCATAAATTGTCTTAATGAAGTCTTGAACACATTACTTAGTTAACTCTGAGGTGAAGTATTGTGTTCAGTAATGTTCACACGAGACAAACTTAACAGGTTGTGAGGAGCGTCTTGGTGGGGCTGTTGTGGTCTTGTCGTGTTGAGAGTCTTGATTACGTGTTGTCTTGTTTACTCCTTTAAGACTGTGAGGAAATGATGTGGAGAGTGGGGCAAGAGAGGTGAAGACAGCGATTGGTATGGTTAGGTTAGGTTAGGTTAGGTTAGGTTAGGTTAGGTTAGATTGATGTTTTCCTAAGTCGATGCATGACCTGTGTTTGCTGAGGTGCAGTTGGTGCATTGTCAACACACACACACACTCTCTCTCTCTCTCTCTCTCTCTCTCTCTCTCTCTCTCTCTCTCTCTCTCTCTCTCTCTCTCTCTCTCTCTCTCTCTCTCACCCTCCCTCACTCACCCTCCCGCCACCCTCCCGCCACCCTCTCTCACCCTCCCTCGCTCTCCCATGGGAAAGTTTGAGATTAAACCCTCCAAGTGAGACTGCAGACTACCTTGGTATGGGCCCTCGATTCCAGGTCAGGTGTCAGAAATCTTCCTTCTGCGAGTCTCGATGTGGACAGTGCTTTTGTCTCCACCCCTAACGTGTCATTTTCCCTCCTGTCGTGGCTCTACTGACGGGGTAACAGAGGAAGTGGGTGAAGGTTGGGTCTGCTTAGGTACGTGGTGAGAGGGATCCCGTGTGTGTGTGTGGCGTGGGTAGTCTTGAAGGAAAAACTTGTACTTACAACCAGTGCCCGATGGTGCGTCCTAGCGGCACTCAGCAGGCAAAAAGAACTCAGGATATTGGAATTCTTGCCATACCGGTGTGAAATTCTCCTCTCAGTTGTGGAGTGGTTGAAGGTGGTGATTGTGTTGGTGGTGGTGATTGTGTTGGTGTTGGTGGTGATTGTCTTGGTGGTGGTGATTGTCTTGGTGGTGGTGATTGTCTTGGTGGTGGTGATTGTCTAGGTCATGGTGGTGGTGGTGTAAGTGGTGGTGGTGATTATGTTGGTAGTGGTGACCCAGTAGGACGTGATATGGTGTGTCAGCCACTACAGCCTCACGTGTATAGGAACTAACAACACGTAAATGATATCCAGTAGAAGAGTAACAACAGGAAGAGACGCCATTTAGTGTGGTGTGTGGGGTGTGGTGTGGTGTGGGGTGGTGTGGTGTGGGGTGGGGTGTGGTGGGGTGGGGTGGTGTGGTGTGGTGTGGTGTGGTGTGTAGTGTGGTGTGGTGTCATATGAAAGGACTGGGAAACACATGACATATTATTCTCAAACAATAAACAGTTTGGGTCCAGATCACCAGACAGACACACGAATCACCTTGTTAACATGAAGTGTCTATAGTCAGGTGAAGAACTAGCACAGCCTAAGTTCATTGTGTTCAAGGACTTAACTACTTAATCAACGTTGAGGCACCCAGGCACAAGTTGGTGGTTAGGTTAGGTTAGGTTAGGTTAGGTTAGGTTAGGCTGGCCTTATATAAGTTTGTTTTTAATGGCGGGAATGGTAAAGGTTGATGTTAGTGATGATGATGATGATGATGATGATGATGATGATGATGATGATATTAATAACAGTGATGATGAAAATTACGTTGATACTTATGATGGCGATGACAGTATGATGGTGATGATGTTGAGGAGGAGGAGGAGGAAGAGAAGAAGGAGGAGGAGGAAGGGGAGGGGGAGGAGATGGAAGGGGGAGGAGGTGGAAGGGGGAGGAGGAGAAGGAGGAGGAGATGGAAGGGGGAGGAGGAGAAGGGGGGGAAGGAGGAGTACGATGACCTTAAGGGGACACCGCGCCTCAGTACAAGTCCTAGATCCATTAAGTAATATACCTCATTACCACAACAAGACTCATCACCTCTCCTAGATCTCAATTATAGTTCAATTATACTCTATATTATTATACAGGGTGACCATAAATGACTACCCTCACTAAAGCAAGGTCTACCACTGTTCTTAGGGGTAATCATTTATGGCCACTCTGTAGATCTGGTGAATTATAGTGATGATATGTTGTATAATTACTAATAACTACACTGGTTGATTTAGTTTTTATTTTAATTATTTTTTGTGTCTCTTCTTCAGGTACGTTCTCACCTGTCAGGAACTGGAATGCGGGTTGGTAACTTGGTGGAAGGAGACGAAAGGTAAGAGGAGTAGAGGAATAATTTAGTAAGTAGAGGAAAAGAGAGAATATATAAATAATTAACACGTTTTGAAGAGCTTGGAAGCCATGCTGAAAATTCTGATAGTATGGGTGACTCATGAGTGAATGGAGTGAGTTATGAGTCGAGGGAGGATGGAGGTGAGTCGTGAGTCAAAGGGGGGAGGGGAGGTGAGGGTGTGAGTCATTGTGGGAGGGGAGGTGAGGGAGTGAGTCATTGTGGGAGGGGAGGTGAGGGAGTGAGTGAGTCATTGTAGGAGGGGAGGTGAGAGAGTGAGTCATTGTGGGAGGGGAGGTGAGAGAGTGAGTCATGAGTCAGGGAGGCAAGGGGAGGTCGGAGGCTGTGGTCGTGGAGTGAGAGGTAAGGATACAATACTTGACTGCACCTCCGAGTATCCACGCCATAAACACTGGAGGTACCACACGGCGTCGTTACAGTGAGTCGCGAGGCACCAAGTCGAACACACTCCTGCCATCAACACACACACTTTACGAGCAGCTTCCGTCTCAACTTTGCGGTATCAACTGTAAGAGCCTGCAAGTGAGTGATCAAAGTCTGTTGTTGATCTTGTAGTGTTGGGGACGCTCAGGTGACAGCTAGTGGTCGTGGAGTGTAATAACGTCAACACATAAAGAAGAACTTTTGACTATGTGGACAGTGATGCCGTCCTGTGGGGCCCCTTTGTCTTTGCAGCTAAGATCTTGCACACACTCTTAACGAGCCTGAAGGGATCACACGACCACTGACAGACATAGAAGCACTCACCACCTGCTTCATGGCTCTGTCTACCACCAGGTGTCAGCAGAACAAAACCTTCCCTCGCCTATCATATTTTGTCTCTTTGTTTCTTATATTTTAACCCTTTGAGGACAAGAGGATTAAATCATCGTCTTCAAAGGGTTAAATCACCGTCCTCAAAGAGTTGAATCATTGTCCTCAAAGTGATAAATGAACCGGTACAATCACCAGTTCTCTCGGTACAGTATCTCCTGCCAGTAAGCTGCTGCTCTTGGTTGGCAACAGTTGTGTGTGTACCATCCTACACCGCCACACAGTTTAGTCAGGCTTTTGTCTTCA